AACTTTTTGCCAATCCCAACGGGTCTAGATCCTTCTGGTCGGTAGCTGAAGCTGTTAATCAAAAGTTCACAAAAACCTCTATTCCACCACTAACACAAGCGGATGGTTCGATTGCAATAACAGCTATAAAGAGAGCAAATTTACTGGCTGGACAATTTGCGTCCCACTCCACAGTTGATTTTCTGGAAAAGGCACCACCCACTATTCCCACACTAGAATCCACAATGCCGGAAATTACTTTTCGACAAGGTCTAGTCAGGCGAATTCTGAAACAGCTCAATATCAACAAGGCGTCTGGTCCTCATGAAGTGCCCGTCATCGTTCTCAAAAAGTGCACCAATGAACTCGCACCAGTATTTTACAAACTTTCAAACCTTTCTGACAAGGAAGGGGTTTTTAATTCTTGTTGGAAAATTGCTTGCGTTCAGCCTGTTCCCAAAAAGAGCAAGAAAAATCTTCCAAATAACTATAGACCAGTAGCTTTGCTATCAGTAACAAATATTTGAAACGCTTCAACATCTTGAGCGATCATCAACATGCCTTTTGGAATAACGGAACCGAGAAACATGATGAGTCAAGAGCTGTTGAGTTTGATATTTCTAAGGCCTTTGACCCTGTGTGGCATGAGGATTTGCTGGCCAAACTTTGATGCTATGGCTTGTCGGATCATTTTTGTGTATGACTCTCCAGCTTCCTGAAAGAACGTTTCCTGCAAGTGGCCGTCGATGAATATATCTCGAATACTTTTACTATCCACGCTGGTGTTCCCAAGGGATCCATATTGTCTCCAATCCTCTTTGGAGCGATACTGCTGTATCAGTAAGCAAAAAACCTCTGCCCTTATCAATGATGAATGAGGCTTCTGAATGGGGTCCGCTACAAAGAAAGATAGAAGACAAATCTCCTACATCGACTGCAACTAAACGACTACAACACTTCAATCTTCCCCTCGAAGATGATCACTTTGATTGAAACACGTGTCGAGGTGTTAAGAATAACAGTTTGGTGTTGGGATTAAACTCCAGTAATATTCATTATTACAGCAAAGGTTCCAAACAGTGCATTACAAGTAAATATGTCATGTAAACCATGATCATCAGCAGATTCACACTCGAACTTCCTGGAGTATGAAAACAAATCAAAGTAATCCTTGGATCTAAATTTCTTCGATAAACGAACTGTTCAGATTATTGACCTTCCTTCGCGTATCAGACAAATCTTGATGTGTTGAAAACTACCCGCAAATCTGAATAAATACAGGTCAACATCATTTTGGCAGCGAGCCCAGACTTTGAATTTCCGTTAGTGATCTGGTGTACTAACTATATGATCCACACCTGTGGAAATTAAACTATTTTAAAATTCAAATTAGATATCTCAAACGACACTCAGATGAGAATAGGTTCCATAAATGTTATTGACCTCATTCGATAAAATGATATTTTTTATAGCTCATCTGTAGATCTAATGGGTAGATGATATTTGTATTAAATCTTTTTAGTAGACCAATCTCTAATTTACGTTACACTATTAATTTATATTTCACTATGTAAGAAATTAACAAAAAATGAATAATAATTGCACAAAGAAACTTTCCCTCGGTCATCTTAAAGGTGCGACTTTGTTCCATCCTTTACATAAAAGAGGACGTATGCTTCTCCACTCACAAGCGACTTTGGTGAAATTGGTGACACGTGTGAATCGTTGTATTTGTGCCACGCGCCAGTATACGGGTGTCTGCAGTATGCTGTATAATGTCCTCTGTTAGTAGTCCCACTGTGATTTAAAAGTGCATATAGATTATAACAAGTAGCCACATTTTCTCCTGCAAAATTGTCCATATCCAATCCTTCTAGAGGAAATTCGATGACATCATTCAATTTGCCTCTACTTTCCGTTGGAGAGAATCTTTTTAAATGTATTACTAAAATATAGGAAAACTTGTGGATTGATAGGGACTTTATGCATTTTCTCCTTTCCTTGCATTTTGAACACGTCGGTTTTTCAATTCCATCCAAAGTTTCTTCTCTTGTAAAATAATCTAAGCATTGCCACAAACTCAATTGGTCGGTTCTTTGTGGTATGGAGAGAGACAAATCCCAGAAAGGATCAAATGTTACTGAAGAGTATCCACAGTGTGTGCATTTCATCGTGGATTTCAATTGGCCAACGAAATTATCTACAATCTTAGAGTTATGCATCCTCAAATATGTGAGCCATGACTCTTGTGCATTTCCGCTGTCGCTCAATTTTTCGTCAATCTCCGATAAGATTGGTTTAGGTAACACTCGTTACTATTCTTTTTGAGTTGAGCTGAAGTTAAAACTATTTACAGGCACGTTGTACCCACAAACACTCTCCCCAGTAGACAAGTTGTCAAATATAGGGTGTAAGGAGAACCTGTTTGTTAGAACTCGTTTTTATGAGGTTATGGGGTCTCCTTCAACAACATGGAGGGCATCGGTTCATCAAAGCACCTGACATTTACTTTCCTTCTTTTGCTTTTTTCTCTTTTTGAGAAAAATTCACAACAGAAATTGACAATATCCAACATGAATGTACACATATATATGAGAAGAGAAAAGAAAGTATGAAAAGGGAAGGCAAGGGAAGAGAAGAGAAAAAAAGGATAGAAAGGAAAGGTAATTGAAAGAAAATTAGGGTAGTAAGATGGGTAGGGTGAGGGAAAGGGGATTACGGGTGGGAAGGAAGGGGTATGGACGGGAAAGAAAGGAAGTCGAAGGGAAAAGGGGGGATGGTAGAGGTGGAGGAGGGGATTGGCCGAGAGAAGAGGGTGGGGAAGAAATATATTCGGATTTATCTTACAATTGAAAAAAGGATTTCCGCTTTTTCCAGCCCGAGGTGGTCTTCCGAATATTCAATTCAAACTAGGAGCAAAAAATTGTTCAATAAGGTAATGAAGCAGCCTAAAATGAGCCCAGAATTATTGCCAATTGAAAATTTCGATTCGGTGATCTAGCAGAACCCACTGAATGAAAAAATAGCATTTGAAAAATATGTGGAAATTGAAGCCCAAAATGAGGCAGAGTTTATTGGTTTGACTCAAGAAAATGTGTACAGGAAAATCATTGAGGCAGTGCCTGTACGAGAGTAGCGATTCACATTGGATTTGAATCGCTGGAGATTAAATGCATTTGGAAAAACGTTCCCAGAAAGTTTATTCCATATGAACGCAGTTCTCCAAACGAAAGACTTCTTAAACAGTAGAGTTTGAGGTGTACTGAGTTGAACCTCAAAAGGATATGCAGCCACAGTCCGTCGCGAATTTCTGATATGTACCGCCCTTGGTGGAATCAAAAGTGCCAAGTCACGTATACTTCCCGTGAAAGTTTCTATAGAAGAGAGACGAATTCCCAACCTTTCTTCGATGATCCAGACTATCAAGGTTGCAAGTGATGTTCGCGCCTCCAATCAGGCGGGTGGCTATTTTCTGGATGGAATTCAGCATTTTCAGGGTATGCTTAGGGGGAGGTCCATTCATGAGAACAATACTCCAAAAAAGGTCTGATCTGAGCTTAATAAAGCATCAAAAGTTGCTGGGGTGTGTACAGTTTTCTGGTTCAGAACAGTGTTCCAAGCTTTTGAGAAGCAACTCTTGCACAACCAGCGATGGTTGTGCCAAGACATTGCTGTCCATTACAACCTCCAACGAACTTATCGCAGCAGAAAGCAGAATTTTCTATCCTGTCTGGATTTTTGAGGCATTGAATCGAACCTGGTTGGTCACCCCAATTCGAAATCACTTCTAGATCCTCATTAAGATATGCAACCAGCGGATGTGCTGGAATACAAATGGAATGACGAGACAAGTGTGCTGTTGTCAGCAAAGCAATATATTGGATTTTTCGTTTTTTTCAATAATAAGTCGTTGATATACAATAAAAAGACGGTTGGATACAATATGGATTACTGGGGAACACCAGCCTTGATGGTAAAAGTATTCGACAGATATACATCGGCGGTCACTTGCAGGGAACGCCCTTTCAGGAAACTGGTGAGCCATACACGACAAGCCATATCACCGAAGTTTGGCCAGCTAACCCTCATGACACACAAGGTGAAAGGCTTTAGAAATATCAAGCACAACAGCTCTTGACTCTCCATGTTTCTTGATTGCGTTATTTTAAATATGGGATATACTGATGTCTATATTAGTGATCACCTAACTGACATTTCTTCCACACTAATACCAAGAGGATGAATTGTTCTTCTTATCGGAGAAATTTACATTAGTCCAAAATCTAATATAAGTCTGTAGATTTAAAATTTAAATGGGTACGCTCCAAATGTAAATGGTGTTGCAAAAACCATTTCAGCTTTCATTTCCCCAGCTTTTGGAACTATCACGAAATTTTAAAGTTAGCGTTTGTTAGTACCTAATATACTGGAAATGAAATGGTACCGTTAGTCATAAATGTTGTTTATCTGGTCAATTTAGACGTCCGAGGGTGCAAAAATTCGCACCCAGCTCAAAGTTAATAGTATTGTTCAAAACACTATCATAAACAAAATCTAAAAAATCCTCATCGATCCGATACCCGTAAAAAAATTTACTCTGGGTTGAAGATTACAAAAACTGCGTTGTTATCACACTCGTTATTACTATTAGTACTTGTCCAAGGACGCCACATTTCAAACAGATAACAAAAATTTTAAGCAATTATAACTGCACCAATATCGGATTTCAACATTCAAATCGCGATCAGTTTCTGAACTGAACACGACGGCGATAACCTTCCCCGATTTCTATTCGTCACCGTAACATGACTTCAAATTTAATTTTATGACTTCCCAGCCAATCGTAAAACTCGGTTAGTAAAAAATATCCAATACGAACCGCCAAGTCTACAGTCCACGCAGATTAGTTCGCTGCCGGTTAATTTCTATGTATTAGTTTTTTGGCCTTTAAGAGTGCCGTCAACTTTAAATATGCACAATATCGTTTACTTCGATTATACAGTGAACCACTTCCCACCTACCTGCAACTCCTCCAGATGGTCCATCTTCGACACGTGGTTGTCCGCGGTAACGATGAGGGCGTGCGGGACTGTGCCCTGCACCTGGGGAGCTTCCTCGTCTGCGGCAGAATTATTCAGCCGGGACGAGAAGCACAACGTACCGAAACACACGCGCATATATCGGCTTGAAGCGATCGCTGACCACCGATATCTCTCCCACAGGATACGTGTCTGGACCGGAGCCAAGAACGTGTGGAGACCTTTGTTTATTCTCGGGTTTTTTTTTTCTATTTATTTGTTTATCGTTATCGACGCGATTGTCGCAGATTCGCGCTCGACACTGCCGTATTGTTTATCGTTCTACTATATTTTTTCTCAATTGGTACTCGAAATTTATCGGTTTGAGATAGGTGAGGGGTTCAGGAGTTGATTTGCCCGCATTGTTTGCTCCGCCATGACGTCGGCAGGTGACCTGGAAAAAAGAAAAAAAAAATGTTACAAATATTGACTTTTCGAATGTTGTTTGGTAGAGACGGCTTTGAACTAGTTTCTAGGACTTCTTCTTATAGGTGAAGGTTTCACGAAAGGGTTCATGGAAATAATTTGGGGTTATGTTATTGTAGAAATTTGCCAAATCTCACAAAATTATAAAAAAAAACTGAACAATCACACCATTACCTTTTCGATAATTCATCGATATCAATAAAGAGATAACAGATTGTTTCAGCAGGGAGTCATAACTTTACTTCGATTACTGTAATTATTGATAATGATATGATTGATACCCTGCAGCAAGGAAGGAGGTGTTGAAAAATCCTTTGTCGAGTGAGATTCAGGTTGAGAATGTCGAAACTAGACTATGACTATAAAAATGCGAACAAAAAAAATACATATTGTAAAGGGAAACTCCTCTTTTTGAACTAGATGCATGAAAAGTGATGGCTGTGTCTGAGGGTCAAATTTTATGACAAACTTAATGGTGAAAACCGCATATCGATATCTATCGTTTCTGAGTAACAGCATATTTTTTAGAAAATGTGCATTTTTGAAGAGTTGCTGTAACTTTTTCCCCGTAAAAAAATTCTTGTTTTTATGAAAACATTTCCTTAGCACTTTTTTACGTAGAATTCAATGGTGTGGAAAACTTATTTTTTCANTTTCTGTTATTCAATTATTCAATTTTTATTTTAATTTTCACTTCTCGTAACCTACACTCAAATGAATGATTTTAAGGGAATATTATCCACAAATCCAGTGGCGTAGTCAGATTTTTATTACAAAACGCTTGCACCACAAATCTCTCACATTACCATATTTTCAGGAGTTATAACTGTAGAACGCATTGAGCTGTTGACTTCGGATTTTCACTGTACAAATTCACTGGTGTTCTACTTGGTGATGACAGTGTTGTCAGATCTCAAATATGTCTATAATCTGAATAAAAATTACAAACAAATACTTTGTTTCCAAAATTGAAGTTGTTGTAACTTCGTTGTTAACAAATATTTTTTAATGAAAATTTGACAGTTTTGATTTATAACGACTACGAATCCAGTGGTGTAGTCAAATTTGAAAACAAAAATTGCCTAATAAACTTTTGCCGTTTTTGACAAACAAAAAAAACCATAGAGTGCCTTGGAAATGAAACTAAAATTGTGAAAGTTAGTGTCAAGATACAGTTTTTCATGCTTAATATTTCAATAAAAAAAAATTGAGATTGATTGAAAAATGCACATTCTACAGGGGTGGTTCCATTTTAAATGGGTCACACTGTATATATATATATACTACTAATAAATGAAACCTCAACAATGATAATAATAATGATGAAGAACAATTAATGCACTATATTTCTTCAAAAAAGTGTTCGAAATGTCATCAGCTTCTTCTACACACAGGCGACACCTGGGGAGGAGCATCGCATCGTGCCACCAATGGAGTCAATCAGAACACGCAGTGCGCTCCACAGAATTAGGCCACTGGCTTGTTTGGATTCAGAGGTTCATATCTTCTAACAAAAGAGGCTGACATCTGGCAAATCAACACAGCCGTTTATAGCGTCGTCCAATCGCTTTCCGAATCGGAAGGACGAAATCCCGGCCTTGCGATTCAAAAGATTGAACGGCGTGTACACAAGATGGAGGCTAAGATCTCGTCGGCGAGACAACACGCGTCTCGTATCCAACGTGTGATGGATTACAGGGCGGCCAACAGGCCTTTCACGCCCGCAGTGCGGCGAATAGCCGCAAACTACGACGTATCCATCACACTTCAAGTCAAGGCGTGCTGCTGACCACCATGCCACTAGCATTCGTATCCTATCCTTGATAGGATACGAATGCTAGTGGCTCCTAAGAAGTCCCTAGTGAGGCGAACGAGAAGTATCGCGGAAAACCTTAGGCTCCGCGAGACACCTTCTCGCTTATTCCAAGAGCCTCCACGTGTTGTGGATGATAAGCCGACCGCTGATCAGGTGGAATCCTTCTGTAAGGATATCTATGAACACCCGCAGCCACTGAACTTAGACACTCCAGCCCTAGCGCAGTTCGAAGCTTTCGACATCCTGAGCTCAATGAACTGCGCAACCCGATTAACCCCAGATGACGTTCGAAGAGCCCTTGTGGATTCCAAGAACTTTGCTGCTCCAGGCCCAGATGGGCTGAACACTTATTGGTGGAAAAAATTAACAAGTACCCACCGCCAGGCCAGAGTTTTCAACTCATGGCTGGACGGAGAGCAGCCGATTCCGGATTGGTTTGTCGAGTGGCGGGCCTTTCTCATCCCCAAAAGCGGAGATTTGTCGATTCCTAAGAATAACTGACCGATAACATGCTTGAATTCGTGTTATAAGTCGTTTACAAGTATCTTATGCACACGAATACTCACCGCAGTTGACCGAGTGTTCGAACGGATATATGAGCAGAGAGGGTCGAAGAGAGGAGTCGCTGGATGTAAAGAAAACCTGCTCATCGATAGATGTGTAACGCAGGACTCGATACAATAGAAGAGTAACCTCTCTATGGCCTGGATCGATCACCGTAACGCTAGTTGCACACACACCGATTTTGGACGGCCGACTTTGTACCGGTTGTCCAAATTCCAATAGTGAACCACATGTGGGAACGAGACCTTGCACACATGCCTAACGGTGATCGTCGCTGGTAAAATACCGGTGAGCAGCCGCCCACTGCCACTGTATCGCCGGCAGTACCGGGAACTAGTGGCGTACATGACTAAATACACTGTTGCATACTCACCGGTTTTTTACCGACCATCTCAGTCTCGAATGCTCGGTGAAATTGTAGTTACTACGTAATAACTTCGTTCTGGTAGTGCGTGCTAATTATGACAGCAAAGCAACTGATTGTTTGACCGATAAGAATCCGGTGAGTGTGCAAGCACCCGCTACCAATAAAATATCGGCCGATTTTATACTGGCCGTCCAAAATCGGTGTGTGTGCAACTAGCGTAACACTAGTTGCACACTGTATCGACCGGTACTGCCGGCGATACAGTGGCAGTGGACGGCTGCTCACCGGTATTTTACCGGCGACGATCACCGGTCGGCGTGTGTGCCAGGTCTCGTTCCCATATGTGTTTCACTATTGGAATTTGGACGACCGGTACAAAGTCGGCCGTTCAAAATCGGTGTGTGTGCAACTAGCGTAAGGCACAATATAGCCTGAGCTCTTGCATTTGCTCAGGTGCCATCTCAAAAGAGGACGATGCGGGGACTACGAAGAGGATGTGCAGCTCGTAGATGAAACAACGCCACATACAAGAGATAACAGCAGTGAAGAACTCTCTCCGCGGCAAGTATCAGCACAAACTTCGACAGATTTGCTCATCGAGACTGTCGGGGAAGAACAAAGTTACTGCAACAAATATGCTTGCCGTTCCAATGTTACTCTACTCGTTTGGAGTAGTAAAGTGAACTCGGGAGGATAATGCATCCATATAAGAGTTTGCATCCCAAATCGTCCGTTCCACGGTTGTACTTCCCCCGACAACAGGGAGGTCGTGGACTTTTGAGTTTAGAGAGTCTACATGGCAGTCGTCAGGAGTTCGGATCCACTTCTCTGCATGGTCCGTCATCATGAGAGAGCAGGAATTGGAGCATTTCTCTTTAGGGCAGCTGCCCCAGCAGCTGATGAACTCGGATTAGTTTTTGACACTGAACGAGGTGACCACAACTCTTTCACCGAGTTGGAACCCGTTCAGCAAAAAGCTTATATTAAAGCCGCAGAGATCACCTCACTTCTGCGGTAACACTATATGGGGTCTTCTTCAATAACATAGAAAACCTTGGCTTATCAAAGCGTCTGACTTTCGCTTTCCTCAGGTCGAGTGGGCTAAAGTCGAAAACTGAGGAGTTCATCGTGGCTTGCCAGGATGGTGTCTTCAACACCTTAGTCTACAGCAGTCGCGTGATGGGTATAGAGGTTCCTGACACAAGGTGCAGGGCCTTCCACGAAGCGCCCGAGACCCTAATGCACTTGCTACAGCATGTTCAGCATATGCGGTCTCAGCCTATATACATCAACATAACGCGGCCCTAAGAGTGCTATATTACCATCTACGGGACTCTTACGGTATTGACGAGACACCGGTGTTCCTCGACGCTCCGTGGGATATTGAATCCGTTGTGGGGAACGAGAAGTGCTGAATTTATTGGAACTACTCGTTCCCCACCCCGAGGTTCATAGAAGCTAATAAGCCTGATGTAGTCCTTCTCGACCACCAGAGTACGACGATGTGTCGTGGAGCTGTCAGCTCCTGGCGAGACGAATATCTTCCTGAAAGAGGAGGAAAAACGATTAAAACATCGAGATGATTTTCTCTTCGAACTCCGCAGACTCTATCCAGACCCTCTGTCAAGATGGTTGTTCTGATTATTGGAGTCCTTGGTGAAATGATGCCCTCTCTACTCTCGAATCTTAAAATCATACTGGCTTGTCGCACTAAGGCAGAAATCTTAGCCGGACCTATGCAGAAAGCTGTCATTCTTGGCTCACTGCGCTTACTCAGGGCACATGATTCTCGGACCCAATGATCACTTACCCCACGGTGTGGGGAGTGGTCGTTGGTTGATAATGCTGGAGCGCCCTCCCGAATGTATTGGGGTTTCGGGGGTTGACCAGCGAATACTACGGTGAAAAATAATTATAATGATAATCGAATTTTTTGCCAGAAAATTACGAACATATACATATAAATACATAAACATATGATGAAGACAAAAAAAAAACAAAATATGCATGTCTGACAAAAGGCCAGAGTTCGTGCTTTCTCAGCAAGAGTTGAGAAGCAGCGCTCTTCCACTCAACCTACAAATTANGAACTGATATGGAATTTTCCAAAATACATTGGTAGTATAAACGGAAAACATGTTACGATAAAATGTCCACAGAAATCTGGATCGAATTATTTTTGTTACCTACATAAATTTTCAATTGTCCTTATGGCCATTGT